TGTCATAGAACTTGATTTCTTTTCATTTTTTCTTTGTCCCTTCTCACAAAATTCTTCAAAAATTTAACAAGCCTCTTTTATAAATCCAATACAGGAAAATTATCCAGGTTACTCTATTGGTTTGTTGTTTATATATCCCTTTTAATTATTAAGAGATCAGCTGGTTTCTTTTGTATATCCTGTATAACATCTTTTACCATGTCATTCTTGTAGCCTGTCATTTTAAAATCCACCTTCAACTCAGTCTCAGTCTTGTCAAGTAGAACTTGTTTCTCTTCCATAACATATTTTAGACACAGTCTATCTATAGAGGCAGACACTGTTAAAATTAGCTTCTGGGTCCATTGTTTAAAAATATCCTTCAGTATGTCCAATGTTAAAATATTTTGCTTCATTCTGTAATTATAAGTTGAGTTTGAGTGTTCTTCTCCTTTAATTGTAATCTTTAGTTCCCTCTAGCTCCCAATTTTTAAAGTGTTATCTTATGGGGGGTTTTTTAAAGAAATTCAAAACAAAAGCATTTTTCCCATAGGAAGGATTCTTTGTAATTAGTTCCAAAATCTTATTTCAAATTTATCTGGACCCTTTGTCTGTCTGTATCTTTCTAAAATCAAAGTTCTAATCACTATTTTGCTGTTTATTCCAAAAAAAAATTTTTTTTTTTACTTCATAAACCTGTAGTTAAAACTTCTTTCACTAAGGATTGAAGGAAATTCACTGGGTGTTATAAAACTTGTTGATCCAAAGTTTCCTAATATCTGAAAAGCAGTTAACAAGCAATTTCTGAAAGTGATTAGAAAAGAAAATATGTGAACCCAGTGTCCTTTCAAAGGTACAGACCGCAGTTTGAGCAAGATGGCTATTCCCTCATCTCCCAGAGCTCTAAACCCACCTGACACCACTGTCTTGTGGTCTTCTCACAAGGAGCAGCTGTCTGGAGCACTTGTGGGCAATCTCAAGTCCTCCCCTTGTCTGGAGAGAAATTATCAAAGAGCTGGTCTACTTGCCAGCTCTTCATTCTGCCGCGGTCATTGGTTCTGCTTTTCTCGGAGTCCAGTTCACCATTTCTACCCTGGAAGTCCGCTGTGATTTTCCTTCTTGGAATTAAAACAATAACACACATTTCTCTAAACTATCTAATTTGTGGGGCTCTAAAATAAACAATCAGTGGAATAATTAGATTAGATCTTAATATCAAAGGAATCATGTAACTGTTACTGTTGTGGTTAGTGTTATTATTGTCACTTCTACTACCACAGGCCTCAGTAATATTATCCTTATGGGCTTGCTCAGTTAGAAACTACCATGGAGTAGGGCAGTACATCTGGAGAAATGGCTAACAGACTTTGACACTGCACAGAGTATATTCTTCTGGAGGAGAAAGTTCTGGGTAATGAGAATGAAAGCATTTGGTGTTTTTATTTCTGTTTCCTTAGCTGAGAGATGCAGGTATATTGATGATGATGATGATGATGATGATGATGATGATGATGATGATGATGATGATTTGGAATGTCAGGCTGACCTCCAGGAGTTGAAACATGAGACATGTTAAAAGTAACGTGCAGTAGGGAATGAAAGAACATGCTTGCACACATTCCAGAGACTTTATATTTCTATAACCATTTATGATTTGCCAACTATGTTAGTTATTAAATAGTAACTGGCCTTCCTTTGATCTTGCTTTTATGTTGTGCTGTTTTCTTACAAGATTTCCAGGTCCCAATAGGATTCAACTGCAGCTTTGATCTTCCTGAAGATTTTTGTGGTTGGACACATGATATGTCTACAGGATTTACATGGACTTTTCATTCTAGAAATACCTGGACTAGCCATTTAGGGCCAGGCATTGGAGTCTACCCAGGTAAGTCAATTCACATCATTCTAAAGGAAGAAAAATATTATGTATGCTTCATGAACTGTAGATTAAAGAAATATATTTAAATTATCTCTGAAGAACTACAGCATACTTTACAAAGTCTGTGAACATTGCCTTTTTAGGCAATAAAAATATTGCCTTTTAGGCCTGTAAAATTATTGATTGATTGCAAGTATTTTCATGTTGCTTCAATTAAATCAATCTAAGATACATGTGAAAAAAAGTCACAGTGCTTTTAAACAGATATGAATTCAGATGTACAGTATAAGTTGTGAATCAGTATGTGGTATAGCTCTCTTAATATATGTTTTTGTTGCATTTATACCCTGCCTTTCTTTCAAAAACTTAAGTCAGTGCACATGATTCTCCCCCACTTACTATTATGCCTTCACCACTATCCTGTAAGTTAGGCTAGGCTGTCTGGCCAAAAGTTATGCAGTGAGCTTCAGAGCAGACTAGGAATCTGAATGTGTGTCTCCCTGTTCTTAGTCCTTAGTCCTGATAACTGTAACTGTACCATACCATCTCTAATTTGTGAATGTTGATTCAAATAAAACATTTGTTGCAAGAGGGATGCTTGCACATCAAACAGAAAATTAAGATCATGTGCTAACTTTCCATGTGCGCTGTGCATTCAGCTTATCCGCAGGCTTCTTACGTGCTGAGAAAATGGAATAGTGTGCTTGTTTTTGTCTGAGTGAATTGGTATTGAGGTAGGTTTTGAACAGCAATAACAAAGTCTCTGAATTATCTAGCATGGATGCTTGTTTTGGCTTCTGCTTTCTATGCATTCTCTTGCATGTGAATGCTCCTTCAGTGTGGAACTGAGCAGATCTTTCACTCTTCTGCTGTGCATTGTCAATTTTCCCCTGAGGCTAGAACTTGCATGGGCCTCTGTAAGACCCTGATATTTGCATTGGATGCTTTGATACTCCTGCTAGTACAGAGGCTTGTGTTCTCAGACAAAGGACTGTCTTTTAAAGACTGTGTGAACACAATAAGGCCTTCACAATATGAGCCCTTGTGCAGTGTGGAGGATCTAAGTTTGCCTGGTAGCTGAAGGTCTGTTTGCTCATTCTTCATCTCTTTCAACAAACTCCAGGATTTATGCTTTTTCTTCTTCTCCTCATTGGACATAGAAAGAAGAGGAGACATTTGCTGGCTTCAAAGAAATGTTTGCCTAATTTCTATGAACAGGCATTACAATTTCACACCACAGATCTGAGGATTTACTAGAAGTGGTCCTGCTGTTTGAGGGAAATCTTTCACACAATTTAATTTTATTGCTTAGGCACTAGTACTGATCACTGCAACATCTGCACCCAAGGAGCATGGATATTCAATAAATCCAATTGATTACCATCCCCCCCCCCATTAGTGGGTCTTGACTAATAGGGAAGTGTTTTGTAATTCACTATTCATTCTCCCTGGTAGCTCTATGTTGGGGGTGTTAACTAAACTGACTGATTTATAAGGCTCTAGAATTGAAGGATGGTGTTCCCTGCTGGGCAGAACAGAAAAGATGAACAAGTGGTCCAATACAAATTGAATGTTGCTGATTAATTTATCTTTTAGGTGGTTAAGTGTCAGCCTTTGTTTGCAATGCTAGCCTTCAAACACTTTCTATATCTTCTATTCTGTGAATTACCTCAGTGCCTGCTACAGGGTCCCAGGGCCTTGCAGCAGATTCTAGAGCATGTTGAGGCCATGCATTCGATCCATGTAGACCTTTGGCTTCACTGCTGCATTGCATTGCATTGCACCCAGCCAATTCTCCAGTCATTTGACACAATCTTATTCTTGCCCAAGATTTTTTTGGTGCCCAAGGAAGTGATATTTTTTTTTTATTTATTTATTTATTTATTTATTTATTTATTTATTTATTTA